AGAGAGAGAGAGAGAGAGAGAGAAAGGGAGAGACGTGTAGAGAAAAAGAGAAGACGTTAAAGGAAAAGAGAAACAGAGAGAGAGAGAGAGAGAGAGAAAGAGATAGAGAGAGAGAGAGAGAGAGAGAGAGAGAAGGAGGAAAGAAGGAGAAAGAGAGAAAATGAAAAAAGTAAAAGAGTAAGAAAGACATACAGAGAGAGCGAGAAAGGGAGAGCGAGCGAGAGTAGAACGATACGGGGAAAGAGAGAGAGATAGAAAGAGAGAGAGAGAGAGAGAGAGAGAGAGAGAGAGAGACAGACAGACAGACAGACAAACAGAGAGAGACAGAGAGAAAGGGAGGAAGAAAGGGTGGGATAGAGAGATAGAGAGAGAGACATGCTGACAGAAAAATAAATAAATAGATAGATAGATAGATAGATAGATAGATAGATAGATAGATAGACAGATAAATAGATAGATAAAGAGATAGATCAATAGATAGATGAATATAAGGATAGACAGATAGACAGATAGATAGAGAGAAATATACAGTGAGATAGAGATACACAGATACAGAGATATTTGTTACGGCTAGCGAATACTCATTCTAAAGAAAGACCCCAAGACGCCCTACTGGAATGATGTCTGCAATAAATTATTAGCTTTTCTAGCTCTAGGTTCTATTCTCTTTCCAATGTGCCCTGTTAGTTTGAAGGTTTAACTTTTCTGCTCTTAAAAGTTTTGACTTCTATTTGACTATTGCCTAGAAATAAAACAAAGCAAAAAAAACCCAACCAACAAACCCCAACAAAAACAAAAACAACAAACAAACAAAGATTCCCGGTCAAAATTAGATTTAAAAAAAAAGAACATTAAAAACAAACAACAGGGGTTATCGAGAGTGGGGTCTTGATAGAAGTTTAAAGAAAACAAAACAACCAACGAACGACAAACCAACCCCTCTTTCTCTATCCGACGAAATCAGATATTCGAGAATATCATCTTCACCTTGCCTGCCAATTCCAATTATTTTAGAAAAATGTGTTTCTCCATTGTACCTCCACTCGTATTTTTTTTAAATGTTGGAGCTGATTGTACGAGCAAAGTGGGTGTAACTAGTAATGAAATGTATCTTCACATTTTGCGGACCAGTACATCTATCCTGAAAGAAAAACAAAAACAAGAAAAAAACATCAAGTTATAATTGAGGGTTTTTCACCTTGATAAAAACGTAAGCTGCGTCAAATAAACGCTAGTACAATACATTGTTTTATGTAACC